CCCGCTGTGGATTCCACCAATTGATCAATTCTAGGGAGTGGGAAGCTGTCCTTAGGACATGCCTTGTTAAGGTCAGAGAAGTCAATGCATACCCTCCACTTCCCGTTGTGCTTCTTAACTAGGATTGGGTTGGAGACCTACTTCGGGTAGAGAGCCTCTCTGATGAAGTCGTTATTGATTAGTTTTCGTACCTCTTCTTTTAGGGTTTCATATCGCTCAGGGTTTAAAGCTCGTCTCTTTTGTCTATGCGGAGCAACCTTAGAATCAATTTTCAAGTAATGGCAACTGGCCCTGGGATCTATGCCCACCATATCCTCGTGTCTCCAAGCAAATATGTCGTGGTTTTCGTATAAAAATTCTTTGAGCCTCTTCTTAAAGTTCGAATCCAGGCCTTGGCCTACTGCAACAGCTTGGTAGGATCTGTTGCATCAACAAGGAAGTTCTCTAATACCTCCATAGGGGCCATTTGGGAATCAGTTTCAATGACACGTGGGTCAATTTCGTCCAATGCCGGCATTCTCGAGTTCATGGCATCACTCACCATGTTCATGTCCCTAGGCTTGACTTTTCTTACGGAGTTAAGGTAGCATTCCCGAGCCCTTCTTTGGTCTCCTTTCACTCTTGCCACTCCCTGATCTCGGTTAAAAATTTCATGCACAGGTGGTGAATGGAGGTGACGGCTGGTGACCAAGTGGCAGTCCCTAGAGACAAGTCGTAACAAAATCTATTGGGCATTAAAACACTAGAACTAGTAGGTTTAGAAGGATTTAGTAGTGACCACGTGGCAGTCCCTAGAGACAAGTCTTAACAAGTTCTATTGGGCATTAAAACACTAGAACTAGTAGGTTTAGAAGGATTTAGTAGTGATGTTTGTGTATTGGTAATATGGTTAGTGGCTCCACTATCCAGTATTCAAAAGTTTCATATATCCTGTTTATGATTAAAGGATAAACACGAAATTGGTTTCTGGCCTGCTAAATTATCTTTAGGTTGTACATTGCCATCTTGAATGAGCTCCATAATCTGCTTATATTGTCCTACAGTGAAAAATGGAGCTTCAAGTTCCACTCCTGCCCCTTGAGAAGTGAGGTTTGCTCTGATGATTCATTTTTCATTCTTCTTGTGGTATTTATGACCTGGTGGAAACACATAAAGGTGAAAGCACCTATCCACTATATGATTAGTGCCTTGACAATGGCTACAGTATTGCTTCCCTTGGCTAAAGGCGTTCGGGTTGTACTTTTTTGCAGTTACAATAACTAGCTCTCTGACAACAGCAACTCACGTTCCATTTCCTCCTGCAAGACCATTGAATAACTACCGATAGAGGGAAGAGGTTGCATCAACAATATTCTGGCCCCTAATGGCTTAATAGGACTCATGGAGTCCCATTAAAAACTGCATCAATTTACTTCTCTACTCTTTCTCCTCAATTTTCTTCTTTGCTCCACAATGACAGGGGGTTATTTCATTGTAGGAGCCTAACTCATCCCATGGACACTTGAGCCTTGAAAAGTATGTCGCAACAGACATGCCACCTTGATTAAGGGATGTTATTTCCCTTTCAATCTGAAAAACTCTCTGTGCATTGTGCTAGGAAAATCTTTCTTTCAAATCGCACCAGACTTCTGATGCACTTTCTGTGTAGATCAAGTTGTCCCCTAAATTTGGATCTATCGAGTTTAGAATCCATGAAAGCACCATGTCATTGCACTTTTGCCAGGAAGCAAAGTTTTTATTTACCTTTGAAGGTTTCTCGATTGTGCCGTCAATGAAGTCTATTTTGTTCTTTGCACTGAGTGCAATGGTCATCGATTTGCACCAAGTTGAATAATTGTCTCCATTTAAAGGCTTTGTAATTAAAATTGCTCCAAGGTGATATGAAGCATGAAGAAAAAATGGGTCTGAGACATCGACTGCAACATTCTCTGCTGCAAGAACATTGGGCATTTCATCTCTTTCTGACATGGTTGTTTAGGTTGTGTTTATAAGTGCAATGGTGGTGAATTTAGAGGAAAACTCAGGAATTTGCTTTGATACCATGAAAAATTATTAATAACGGAGAAAAATAATGTTAGTTGAAGAAGAATCTCTTACTCGATAATTTGATTACAAAGAATGTTCAGTATATATAGAAGTAATCCCACCATATTGACATACATTATAAGAAAATAAATAATATAAAATATCCTACATTGATAATGAAATCCATAATATTGTCAATTGTATATTACTATGAAACATAGTACAATCTCATGTTATAGCATAATTCAATGAATTTCATCCCTAGAATTCCTTGAATCATGCCGAGCGACCGCATGGAAAGAATAACTGTGCTTAGCATAGTTCAAGTAAAATTTTATTCTTTACATTTTGGTTTTCGAACTCCGTTTTCTCATTTTTTCTTCTTCCAATACTTCATGTCTTTGCTAAATTAGTCTTCGACTTTTTCACATCTTTGTTTCTTCTTTCGAGTTATCTTTCGATTATTTGCTCTTTGGTCCCTAAACTTTGATTTTCTTCCATTTTGATCATTTTCGCTCATTTCTCGTAAATTCCACCATATCATCAATGTTATCCTACAAAACATAATTTATACAGAATTAAATTATATTCCAATATATTTGCCAACAATTATTCATATTTTGTGGTCTAAATAAGTGTGTAAAATGTACCCATTAAGGGGGTGTATTCAATTGAGACTTTTTGAAAACTTTGATAGACTTTTTTTAAGTGATGATTTCTATGGATTTTGTGGATTTTTTAGAGATTTGTATAGAATTAGTGGAAGTCTTTTGTAGACTTCTATAGACTTTCATTTAAAAACTTTTATATACTTTTTGTAGAATTCAAAAGACTTTTAAAGACTTTCACTTGAAATAGAATTCATGTGGATGTAATACAATTTTGTAAAATTATCACATACGACAGAATCTCAAATCTCTCTCGACGCCGAGAATTTTTTATGTGTCTAGGCTGATTAGAGGTGCGGCTTCCTTCTCCCCCACCTTTTAGCATATGTTGAAGTTGGCTCATTCATGCTAGTCATCTTAGAGTTATGAGTCAGAACT